CCCTCCTCCTCCCTCCTCTTCCCCTCCCCACCCCTCTCTCTCCCTCCCTTCCTCCCTCCCTACTTCCTTCCCTTCTTCCCTCCACCCCTCTCCCTCCTCCCTCCACCGCCCCCCCCTTCCCGCTACCCCTTCCCTCACCCCTCTCCCTCCATCCCTGCTCCCCACCCCCACCCCACCCCCTCCCCCTTCCCGAAGCTCTTCAAAACCGTCTCCAAATTCGCCTTCTAACTTCTAACTCGTTTTCTCTCGCCCTGACTTTGATGTAGCAAGACTGGCTTTGATTAGCGAGTCGAATCAAGAGATAAGACTCCTGGTTGTTTTATCGCCCCCCCTCCCCCCTCCTCGGAACTTCGGTCGATAAATAAAAGAACCAAAGGAACACATGTGTAAAATTAAGAGATATCTTCAGTTTGTTTGGAAGCTGACCGATTCAGGGGACGTGTGAGCTCATCTGCATAGCTCTGCCTATTTACATTTAAAGGGTCAATGTCTGTGCACTAACTCACAAATATAGATATATACATATATATATATATATATATTATATTATATATATATATATATATATAATATATATATATATATATGTGTGTGTGTGTGTGTGTGTGTGTGTGTGTGTGTGTGTGTGTGTGTGTGTGTGTGTGTGTGTGTGTGTATACACACACACATACAAACACATACACACACACTATATTTCTATATTATCTATGTCTTAGATGTGATGAAATTGCAATATTTTATATTTTTAGCTGATAAAGTCTAGTATCTTATGTTAAAATTAGACAATTAATTTGCATTATTCTCAAGAAACCTGTACAGATTGTGTTTTTTGATTGTGTAACATTTATTAGCCTCAAATTAATGTCCTTAGTCCATCCTATATTGTGCATTTGTTAGATTGATGCTTCAATTACTTACCATTCCAACATTCAGTCATGAATTTAATTGTATTGTAATCACCTAATGGCATTTATTATCTCAAGTAATAAAATTGTCAATATTTCAGGAATTTATTATCTATGTGTTTACAGTTTACCACTGAAGATGAGTGAAAGTACACCCGAAAAGTCTGTTTTTTTCTATCAAATGGACCATAATACAAGGTTTAAACGGAGTCTGTCCAGTGATGAGAATCTTCGGTGCAACGCTGGGTCTTAGAGCCTTCCTGTTTGTCCGCTTCCCCCTTCGAAGTCCAACTACTT